AATTTTTTTTTTTTACACAGTTCATAAATATATACATTTATGTATATAAACACATTTATATTTATATTCACCAGTAATGAAAGAGATAGTGTGTGTGCTAAATGCTAAATGTTATTTATTTATTGTAAACCATACTATTATCATTATTATAAGTAAATAAACTAGTACAGTGTGTTGACTAAAACAAGTGAATGAATTAATAATTTGGGGGAACAAATTCTTAGTTTGTAGCCATTATAGCTTTTATTAATTTATTTACATTTTTATCTAACAACACTGTTTGCTAAATTCTTCCTAGAAAGACAGAACTTCACTGACAGTTTGAAAGCTGAACTGAAACAGTCTTACAAGTTAATTGCAGTTCTATTAATGAACAGAAAAGATATGACAGATACATGTGAAACTATTCACGTAACACTCCACTCACAAATACTGCATGAAAAATACTCACTATTGTAAAAATAAACCTAGAACTTCCGTATCCTATGTAATCCCCATGAAGGACGGATTTCAATGAACTTGTCGCAATCATCATGGAATAGTCTTCTACGCAAAGAACACACACGATACTGACTGAGAACTTGGCCCAAAAACGTATAGAATCAAGCTGTCCAGCTTTTGGAAGTCTTCACAATTGCAGTGTGCCTAAATGCTACATAGCCAGCTTATTAGATTTGTCAACAGAGCCATGTACTGTACTGTATGTAACAGATTAAATAATGTGATTAATAAATTATACCATGCGCCATGGATCAGGTGACTGTGCAACTAGCCGCACATATTCTCAGGATTTTGTCCGCTTTGGTTTCAGACTGTTTTATGCCAAGAACTTATATATTTTAAGCCTCCTAATTGCACATTCAACATGTATTCTTTCACTTGCATTTCTATCCAAACTCTTCCTCTTTCACTTTTGCTCCTTCGTATGGGAAAAATAGAGCTATTGCTGTGTGCAATCATCAGGTTATTCAGACATGCCAGCTGAGCGAACATCATTTGTGAACATCTTAACCTCGCACTGCAAAAAAAAAAAAAAACAGGTATTGTTATGAAAAGACGTGCACAGGCTCTTGAAGAAGCCTTTCTCATCACAGGCCACCAGCAGTCATAAACACCTAAATGGCCTTATTAAAAAAAAGTCTATAAAGCGTTTGAACATATGGTTGCTGTTATTTCTATTAAGACAAGGACACAGCAGTGAGACAAACTGAAGGCCGCATGAATCGGACTATAAATAACATCACATGACACATATGGAGTTTTCAAAACAACCAAGATTCAAACACACCCATACTTTTGTGATTTTTATTTATTCAATTGTCACTGCATTACAAAAAAAAAAAAAAGTTTTAATTACTGATGTTGAAGTGAATGATATAAGGCATTTATCACATACTGTAAAAGTAACAACCCTCTGTACCTACAGTTTAAAAAAAACCTTCACCAGCATTATATATGACTCCCCAGTATAAAAGTTGTGTATCAAATGCCCACATCTGATATGGCTTTTTGTTAAGTAAACATCAAATGGGCAAAAACACCATCTGATCAAAAAAGCATCTAATAATTGTGTTTGACTGTTAAAAAGCCAGAAAAACACTGTTTATTTACCTGAACATTCTGTGCAAATGGTCATCTTTCTCTTCCCACGTTTCATCGCCGTCATCCATTCATAAAACGTACATATGAACAACATATCTGTAAACATCAGTTTTTTTTTTTTTGGCAGAATGCATGTGCTGCCCTCCAGCGGCAGAAGCTTAAATGTGCATTATGTGCAACTGCTGCCATTAAGCCCAAAGCTCCAAACCTACCACAAATTTTACACATTAACATTGCAAATTAAAGGATGAATGGCAAACATAAAATCAATTTTATCAGATTAAATATATCGAAGGCAGAATATTACAGCTAATCTAGGTCTGTAATAAAAAAACAAAAAAGGAGTGAATATCAGAGAATGGGTCAAAAACATGCCTGGGTCATATTGCATATTAAAATCAAAAGAAAGAAATAAAGACTTATATTTTGCTTAATAAAACTGAGAAAAATTTAACTTTCTTTTAGGATCAGTATTTACATTAATGGAAATTGAGCACATTACTAAAAAAAAATCTCTGATTTATAGTGCTATATTACGTACATTGTCAAGAATTTATACAACATGGTAGTATTTGTTGCATTGCTTGTACTGGTAATTTACACTGATTTAAAAAAATGTTTTTTTACTATAATAAAAAAAAAAATCACCCCCCGAAAAAATGACAGCAGTTTGGATCAGCAACAAACACCGTAAAACCTACAAAACCAATAAAAAGTGACCCGAGTAACCTTAGAATACAGCAGTCTGTGACGCCCTTAAAGGGTTAGTTCACCCAAAAATGACAATTCTGTCATTAATTACTACAGACTTTTATATAAAATAAAAAAATACTTTTTTGCGCAAAGAAAACAAAAATAACGACTTTATTCCACATTTTCGTCTCTACTGCATCACTTGTGGACGCGCGTTCACGACAGTATCATGACGCGAGCGTGTGACGGCGCTGACCCAGATCCGGCGTGATGACGTTATTTTTGTTTTCTTTGTGCAAAAAAGTATTCTCGTAGCTTCGCAGCTTTACAGTTGAACCACTGATGTCACACGGACTACTTTGTCGATCATCTTGGTACTTTTCTGGACCTTGAACGTGGTAGTTACCTTGCTGTCTATGGGAGGGTCAGAGAGCGCTCAGATTTCATCAAAAATATCTTAAATTGTGTTCCGAAGATGAACGAAGGGCTTACGGGTTTGGAACAACATGAGGGTGAGTAATTTATGACAGAATTGTCATTTTTTGGTGCACTAACCCTTTAAATCTTCACTAGATTGTTCCAGCATCAACATTTAAAACAAAGGAATTGAATGTGCAATTGCTTAAAAAGATAGTGTAATCAGGAAAGATTTCAACACGGTTTCAAATACAGAATGAATTCTTGTCTTCTCTTGCTCAGTGATCCCACACGAGGTCTGGTGTTGCCCACCTCTATGATCTGCTGGGCACTGGAGGGTAATAGACCGGCACGGAGTGATCACACACACTGAGATCTGACTGGCCACCGACAAGCACTTCGGGGATGGCATTGCTCCAGATTTCTTTGGTTGACTTTTCGCAATCGATCAGCTGGAAATCCCTGTCAACGCAGAGCTCTATTTGGCCCAAAGTCTGAACCTGGCCTCCCTGAGAAATACAGTAAGAAATGAGATTTCACCTTAGCAAAACTGATGGCAAACTGTGGTCACTGTGCATCTAACTGTTGCCCTGAGCAGATCAGTCCCACCATGTATCAAATCAAGAGGAAATCAAAGTGGACACCATTTACTTTACTAAAGGAATATGTTAGATTCGACACAAGTTATGTTCAACTGACAGCATGTTGCACTAGAAAAAAAATTACTTAATAATAATAATAATAATAACAATAACTGAAAGTGTCTGTTAAATTCATGAATGTAAATTATGTTGATTACCACAAACTTGGCTTGACTTGGCTCTTATTTTCTTAAAAAAAAAAAAGTAAAAGGTACTTACACTGGGAACATTTTTTGAAGACTTAAAAGCAGAAATATGAAGCTTATAGATTTTTTTTTTTTATTATATATATATATATAAAGTGAGCTGTAAAGTTATTTAAGTTTTCATGGCAACAAATTTGTAAAGCTTGATATAACTTTCTGTAAAAAAAAAAAAAAAAGGTTGTGTGATGTTTTCACACTAAAATCATACTACATACTACCACTGAACCACCTTATGTTTACACATCAAACCCACTGACTTCCATTGTAAATGCCTCACTGTAACATAGATATTTGCCTTATTTCCCACAAAGGTTGGTCAGAATACTCTGTCCGTCTTCATTCATACCTTTCCTGGATGGACGCACTGAATCTTAGGCTTCACCCCGAAAAAGCTGGTAATGGCTGTCTCCACCTGATCCAGCTAAAATAAACGGGAAATATGACACATTCACTCACACGTGCCTATAATCACAAGATTCTTGTTTACTGCAGCCCAAAAATAGAGAAGTTGAATAAACGCAACTAATGAATGCAAGAAGTCAGTTTGTGTCTGTTGAAATGCTGATGTTTGTTGGGCAATAATAACGCACGCTGCGGTTTAGGAAAATACTTTGAGGCCTTTTATTAGATGGATGACACATTTTGGGAATTTTTTTATCTGATCATTATTTCAATTATACAAAGTTGTGGAATCACTGACAGGAACAGAAAACAGCAGGCTGGACCATTACAGTAAACACACTCCATCACAACCCTAGCTGCTGTTATATATATATATATATATATAATGCAACTGTTTATATAAAAAAAATAGCAACTGCAAAGCAATACCTGCTCTGCCTCTCAGGTCAAAGGTCATAGTAAAATACCTGCATCATTTACAGAGGACCACATATAATCCAGATAAAGCAGGGAAGACAATTAAACTACTTACTGTGTAGTACTCCTCAGAGGGGACGATTTTGTTGTTCTTTAAAACACTGAAAACACAAAAGACTCATGAGGAAATCAACTAGGGCTTAGTGGTATGATGCTATTGCTAACACATTTCTGTGAGATAGCAGAAATGTGTCAACCGGTAGTGTTTATACCATTGTACCTATAACCGTGCAGCCATTATAGGCGGGACTGCTTTAATTTACTTGCTGTATAAAGTGAGTAAACAAGGAGTAATGCGGAAATCCAAACTGGGACATGTCCTAAACTTGTTATTAATGCGTGTTGTAATAAATATGAATCGCTTGTCGAGTAGCATTATAATTTGGCACAGTAAAGAGATAGTTCAACCAAAAATGAAAACTCTGTCATCATGTACTCAACCTCAAGTCGTTCCAAACCTGTATGAATTTCTTTCTCCTGCTGAACACAAAAGAAGATAATTTGAAGAACGTTGGTAACCAAACAGTTGCTGGTAGTCACTGACTTCCATAGAATAGGGGGGAAATTCAATGAGTAAATGATGACAATTTTCATTTCAGAGTGAACTATCCATTTAATATAGAATTTAAATTGATGTGCATCACAGTTGTGCATAGAAGTGCTATTTTACAAAAGCTTTGAATGAGGCTTCAATCAGAATTTTGAGTCAGAAATATAATAGTTTTATAATATTAGTCTTACTGTTTTGATTTCTTTTTTAACTGCAGTGTTACATAATGTCTGTATGTGATGAAACAGCTATCATTTATAAATACTCTCATCTTTTGCTTTGCATCGATCAACTTTACTTTAACACAACTCCCTAATGTACTGAAAGCCACAAAATCAGGTTTTACATGACACAAGAACCACTGAAAAACAAGAACTTACCTATTAAGGTCATACTTAAGGTTTAGCTCGAGAGCTTTGCTAAAGTATTTGTGTTGACTGTTTAGAGAATCAGCTTTTGCAGCACAGGTTCCATGTTTTATCCATTCATATTGCCTAGGCACAATTAAAAGCGCACAATAAAAAGTCCATTATTTAGTGCAATCAATCGATCGAAAAATAAATGTGCAAGTTTTTGACATACCAAAATTTTGGGGAAGAAGGTGCTAGCAGATCCGGCCAGTATTTTTCCATTTCTGGTATTAAGTCCTGCAAGACATGCACATACAACATATCAAGCACATGTGCATCAAATTAAAATATATGACATCCAACAGGGCGAGCAAGGCAAGCAAACTACCTCAATCAAACTGGCATTAAAATGCCAGGATGTATTGCACCTCATGCCAGTGTTGGGCCTGCAACAACAACAAACATTTTCTTCAAATACTTCTACTGACATTAATTACAATCATCCTTACAATCACTGGCATTGCCATCCTTATCGGATGATTTTTAAGATCACATGACAACCCCTAATATCACGCATTTAATAAACTCAGATGATGATCACAATTAGTGCATATTAAATAATAAGCCCGTACTCATTACATGCACCTCAAAATAGGAAAGTGTTGTACTTTAACAAGCATTAAGAATAAAATTGGTCTCCATAAACATACCACAATCCATTCTGATTTCTCTCAACATGGGGACAGGAGAGCTGTCAATCAATAAATTGAAAAAAAAAAAAGGTAACTTGCATTACTTATTTGAAAAAGTAACTCAGATATTCTCTTGTAAATTAAAAAGTAATGCGTTACTTTACTAGTTACTTGAAAAAAGTAATCTGATTACGTAACTTGCATTACTTTTATTACCCCCAACACTGTTCATGACATATTTCAGTGTAGTCAGTTTCCTGACTCTTATGAGCCGGTTCTTTCTAGTTGATCAAAACTACCTGAATTAATCAGGAATTGTGACAAGAACTGTTTAGTGTGTTTTGTTAACATTGCTTTAAAAATTAATTAAAAAGTCTGTTAACACTCCTGTTTTACACCTGTATTGTTCCCCCCCCCCTTTCAAACGTCTTGTATATAATATTTACTCTGTAACCTAAAGTGTATCTTGTTCAATAAACACGGGAAAATACAAACATATGAGGCTATGCACAATATTGATTGTCTGGCTACTAATGCGCCCCAACTTAAAACTCATCAATATGTATAAACAGATGTAGTTGAATGACATACCGAGGATGGGCAAAGGCTGTTGGACAGAAATATCCAACACAAAGAATGGCAGCAACTGCAATGAATCTCATTCTTCCAGACGGTGCAAGTCCGTTCATCTTACCGAGAACAAAAGGAGAATATATCAACGTTCACAATCGTACATTGTAAAAAAAAACACATCTATAAGACAGTCACAGCACAGAAAATAACACAAAGCTGCGGCCAAAAGTAACATAATCAAATGTGAGGGGAAAAAAAACTTGAACAAACAAACTTACGTTAAGACGTCAAGTTACCTGTTTTAGTCTGATATACCCGTTCAATTTACATACAGTTTTTACGTCCTCATAGTAACAGAGAGGGTTGGTTTTAAACGTTTTATTCAGTCTGGGTGTAAGTCTTCAGGTAGGACTGCCCAGTCACTATCTTTCCGAAACACTGTGCGGTCGAGTCACTTCAGAGCCACTTCCTTTCCTGCCAGACACACACTGCGGCCTCTGAGCACTGATCGTGTTTACAGCGTGAGCTCACAGCTGCGCATGCGCGGTCAAGTCATGTGACAAACGGCAATTTATGACATATGAAAGTTGTTTATGCAGATTAAGCTGAAATGTTACAACCACGAACTTTTCTAATGTCATTGGTACAGTTCCTTCTGGTAAATGTTGTATGCACGGGATTCTTCTGCATTGCCACTTTTTGATTTACTTAAAACTTAATAAAATTTGTCATTAGACTTTAGTATTATTTGTTGCTGTACAACAAAGTATTTACGTGAATTATTAATGCACCTTATTTAGCTTTTTTGTTTCTTGTGACTATTTTTTCTTTCACCCCTCATGAACTGGAAATCTTCAAACTTACTTTTTTTTTGTTTGTTTAGTATTTTGTGGTAATGCTAGATTTCTGTAAATACATGAATACACTATCCTCTCTTACTGGCTGTGCCTCCATTCATACCTGCAAGAACGAGTTTACGCATCTTGAAAATCTACACACATTAATTTTAATGTTGTGGGTTTAAAATAAAATGAAATTAAATAAAAATACAGATTAAAGCGCTGTTGTTATTTGTGTAATACCGTTGGGTGCCGCTACTCGCTCAAACAAATTGATGTTTGTTCTTAGATCACTTCAGGAGCAAGCATTGTATCTAGATCATACATTTTCTGTCTCAAAACATTCTAACATAAAAACAAAACTGTTGTTTAGCAATAACATAAATTAATAAATTAATAAAAAAAAATGTAAAAATTATGGCCAGAGTGCATTTCGTTAATTTCCCACTAATTCAAACCAATTAATATGTATTTACGTTAACACACTATTTCAATATTACAATTTCCGTTCGACTCACCTTAAACTAAACTCTTGTTTTTTTTTTGTTTTGTTTTTTTATAACTCATTCAGTATCTAGCGTCAATTTAAAACGTCTGTCTGGTATCTTAATATCTGTGCGAAATGATGTGGGAAGAAAGTGTAAATGCTATATATAGTTTAATGCCTATCCATAAATGGGATGCGGGAGAGGCAACATTCCGCATGGGTAATATTTTACTTTTCATCAGCTGGTCTCTCAGGCGGGTAGAGGCACATCTACCTCCGCGTCGCGCTCTTGTATTCTGCTGGGGTGAGTATGTCTGGCCCCTTATTTCCACACTTTTCATCTGAAATTATAATGCAGAGTTGTCCTTGTGGAAATACAAAATCGTTCAGGCTGAAGGAACCTTTTGAACTTGACCTTGCTTGGATGTTGATCTATCTTAAATGATGTTTGCTTGAGTGGGAGCAGCACTTGACTTTGAAGGCATTCATAAAAAGTTGCCATTTTAACCAGTTTCAGGGCATTGCGAATATGAGTGAACGAATAACTGGACACACTTTGCCATTGTTTTGCTTGTGGGAAATGTGTCTCTTAAAAGTGACCTTTTGGATGAAATAACCTTTGAAATATTTATCTTCCTCCAGTAATTCTTGATGCATTATGCAAAGTGATTAATTCATTTATTTTTACATGTCGTCTGTCAAATATGTTATTGAAAACTGTGCACAAATATTTCTATGTTTGATATGCACAGTGGATGCGATGTATGGGGGCTTCATATGTGAATGAGATAATGTAATGCTGCATTTGAGTGCATGATTGTTTGTGTAAATATTTATCAAAAAGAAAAGTGGTCGTCTGTCAAATATGTTATTGAAAACTGTGCACAAATATTTCTATGTTTGATATGCACAGTGGATGCGATGTATGTGGGCTTCATATGTGAATGAGATAATGTAATGCTGCATTTGAGTGCATGATTGTTTGTGTAAATATTTATCAAAAAGAAAAGTCAGGAATATGTTCGTGTCCCTTTTCTTCACTTTGTATTGTAGCGTAATTCATTTATCCATATTAGAAGCGAAACATTCATGAGAAGTTGGTTATCTTTCAATATTTCAGTACATTTACAGAATAATAGCTTGTCCTTGTACACTCTAAAAAATGCTGGGTTAAATACAACCCAGTGATGGGTAAAATAGGGACAAACCCAGCAATTGGGTTGTATTTAACCCAGCATTTTTTAGAGTGTATACAGTAGAAATTGCCCTGGAATACTGTACCCATCTCCTTGGACTGTCCGATTTCCCAACCCCCAACCTCTAATTTTAAACTGCCCTAAGGTTTGGCTTCCCTGTGGCCCAAAGCTCCAGAACGCCCCCTCCTCTTCATCTCCGCAAACAGGTCCTAACACCTAAATCACATCAGGAGTAGACCGTACTCTGCTCAATTTACTACAAACTATCCCAAATAACATCAATCACTGAAATAGGAAATTGAGAACAGTAATATGCATCTATCAATGAATGCATTTTGTCTCGTCTTGTGTGCAAAGACACTGCATGTTTTTGTTCCAGGTTTTGTTCTTGGGGTTGCCCAATATGGCTGCAGTTGTTACCAGACACAAGCATTTCGGTCAAGAATACCTCAGTACTGAGTCTAAATATGTTGTTCGGGAGTACTCCAGGTAAGCTGAAGAATTACAGCAGCTTAAATCAAGCAAGTTCACGTTTTAATGGAGTGTCGCGGCTAATCATGACGTTCACGGCAATACTAAAGCTACTTGTAATAAAACAGTAATATCATGTATAACATATAATAACATTGTTGGAGCTCTGCTAATACACCATATTACCTACAGTAGATGATCCCTTCATGTCACTACTTTCCTCTGAGTAGCTGACATGAGATACTTTAGGAAGTTGACATGGCCTGCAGTGTGACACGCTGTACTCCGTGTAAAACGCTTTTCTAATTATGCATGCGGCTTATGTGACCTCATATTAGTGAGAGAGGGACCACAGGCTACATTTATCACACTGCAGGACCATTTCAAATAAACTGAAAGGAAGGCAAAAAGTGATTAAAACGGTAAACAACTGAAAAGAAATGGTGATCAGTTTTAGGGCCTGAAGTATATACTTTAACTTGACCAGTCATATTTAATGCACAGGACGGCAAATACCCAGATATTGCCTGGAAACATTTTGCTTTCATTAGTACATTTTAGATACATATATTGAGTTTGATAAGCTTTGTCATTAAATTGGTTGTTTAAGGATGAGAACGTGGTATGGTAATTATATATGGTTATTATATATAGTTATTTTTGTTCATTAAAATTAATTAGATAACTTGTCCTTTAAACAAATCTGCTTTTGTTCTGATATATCAAAATATACTAATTTTGATCATTTTAGGGCATTTTATGTTAGTGAAAAAAATAATTCCACACCAAAGCAACATTGTGATGGTGGTAGTTATTGTTTGCCCTCTGAGGGGTCAAAAGGTCAATATTGTTTTTTTTTTTTTTATTTATTTTTTTTTATTATAGATTAAAACCTATAATAGCTATGCATGTGAACCATGGGTAAAGAGGATCAAATATCAAAGTTAATATATATATTTTTTTCTTTTTTAAAGTTTACTTAAAGAAGTTCACTAAAAGGTGTTGCTTGAAATGCATGAGTTATGATATGCTTTTGTATGTTTGAATGCATGTCAAAATGAATAAACGGATTATTAACCTGAGATGAAATGAAGCGTTGATGATTTCTGATGAAGCCTGTTTCTCTCATGCTGTTTGTATAGAGTTATGCTTTGAGCCCACTGATATCATTTTATTATACACTCTTAGAAAAAAGGCGGTACCCTTTCAAAAGGTATTAATATGTACACTTTAGGTACTAAAACATATTTTTTAAGTAGTAATATGTACTTTTAAAGGGGTACAAAGATGTACCTTTTTACTTTTGTACCTGAGTGTATGAAAATGTGTTTTCAGCTCTGCGGCTGAAGAGGTGAAATATCAATACCAAACACAGAAGAGAATCCAGGGAGTGGTAAAGCCCTTTAAACAATTATTCCTTTCCTTTTAAAAACTTCTTGACATGCAGCTGTTATAGTACTTTCATTAGCCAACATGTACTTTAATGTACTCTAAAGACATTTGTTGTTACCTGTAGTAGGCATCAAGGGTTAAATAGGACTGACTCTATGTAGGACATATATCTTTTCCACAGACTTTTTAATGATTCAACAGCACAATTATTTGTTTGTCTCTTTTCATCAGGTGGAGAAGAAGATGCCTGAGAAATACATCCGTGAGGAGTCCATGATCAGGGGCCCCAAGTTTGTGGTTAGACTGAGGTCCCACACAGTGTATGAAAACAGTGCTATTAAACTTTTCTGCACTGTGGAGGGATATCCCACCCCACAAGTCAAATGGTGAGGCCTGCCATGCTGCACGCTAAGTTCAGTGCAGTTGCTCTCAAATCTCTTCTGAGGTCATACAATGCACTTTGACTTTGAAGTTGCAGTTTTTTCATTTTTTTTTATTTGTAACCATGTATAAAGAAACTCTAAGAAGATTTATTGTTGTTATATGACAAATATTCTACAGGTTCGAGGATGATGTCATCTTGGACATTTCCTCTGGAAAGTACTTTGTGGAGAGCAATGCAGGATTCCATGCCCTCACCATCCTCAAGTAATTTGAACTTTTCTGTGTAATTGTTGGACTTTTAGTGATGCAATGACAGAATGTGGTTTACTGATGATCTGTATTGAACGGAATGAGTGACAAACTTGGGTTGAGTGCTCATTACATGCTTACGTCCTAGTTATTAATTGGCCACAGAAATCAGGAAACTTTAAAAAAAAAAAGAGACTTACAAGCTATTCAACTTTTGAAAAACTTTTGTCTTGCAGCAATCTAAAAAAAAAAAAAGTTTCAGTTCACCTAAAAAAAAATAAAAAAATTGCATATACGTAGATCATGTAGCCTATTTTAGATCCAGTAAGATTTTGCATTGTGACATAATTATATCTTGACCACTAGGTAAATAAAAAAAATAAATACAATAAAATAAATTCCCCCAAAATTTGTAATGCACCTGAATGTTGAATTAATTTTTTTTAATTTTCTTTGCAATTTTCAGAGGTTATTGTCTTTATTTTGTGCCTATAAAATGTAATTTTTTATTTAAATAATGATTGTAATAAACTAGTTCAGAATAATGTAGCATTTTATTTAAATCAGCTAATTAAATTAAAGAAAGTACAACAAATACATAAACAATGTGCAAATAATTCACAATTAAAATAAGGCATCACATTTTTTACAGTAATGAAATTAATAAAAATATGCTTACTTGTCCTAATACTGTCATACATTTTAATGATTCCAAAATATTCTTCATTTTCTCAATGCATTATCTTAAAACATTTTGCGATGCAGTTTGACCCCAAAGGACAAGCTCTTGATAAGTTTCATGACATTCACCCTCTAAAACACAATAAAATGTAACTAACAAGTGAATTTCCACAAAAGGAAGTCATGTCAATGGGATTGCATGTGAACTTTTCCAATTTAGTCCAGGGCCAGTCGGTGCGCCGCCCACGTCTTGAGCTCCTGTCAGCTGTTAATGTCAGAGTGCTGAGTTTGGTGTCATCTGACACTCCGGCGCCTTGCAGAGAGATGACTTTCACTGCTGTCACCCTGTCAGTCCCACAAAAACTCACCCTGGCCCTTATGTCACATTCCTGATGGCTTCTTGCATTCAGAGCCCAAACCTCACAGGTGAAGCTTGGCTTTCCGCAATTCGTCTAAAATGACCAAACCTTTCACTTTTTGACTCACAGCCATTCTCCTCAAGGCCACAGGGGCCGGGGGAGAGGGCTCTAATATAGTACGGTCACTCTGAAGGTCACATTACAGTCGTCTCATTTTCTTGTCCCTTGCATCTCGTGTTTGCTATTCAAGCCTCAGAGCCTCACGTGTTGAGCACGTTTCGAAAACAGGCGCTAGTCTACATTAGCATTTAGTTTGGAGCAATTATCCTCTTGACATTAGAGCATTAGTTAACTGCCAATTTATCAATCATTATGGGGAAGCACTTTATGTGCTTTCCAAATGTCAATTAGGAAATGACTGTGGCATATATCCAATCAAATAACAATCATAGTGATTATTTATTGACTGATTAATTAGTGGAGTGGGTGAAGCGGTGTTGCGATCCAGCCGTGTATTGATTGAAGTTGTAGACACCTGTGAATGAGTTATGTGTGTTTTTTGTAGGTGTGCAACTGATGACACTGCAATGTACACGGCTGTAGCCTCAAACTCGCATGGACAGGCTTCTTCCCAGGCCTCCATCATTGTGAAGAGTAAGACTTTTTCTCCTGTTTTCTGGAATCTAAGCTTATCTAAGCAAGATTTGCTGGAGAACCAAAAAAATGAACTATTAATTACCCAAATTTAGACGATGAATCCTTTCTTTACAAAGTCATTATATACTTTCTATGTTGACTTTTAGGGTGCAAAGAGGAAGAAAAGTCCACTCCTTATTCCTGGATGCCTTACCAGTGTAAGTGTGAAGGGCTCTATTCATTAAAGAGTGAATAAATGATATGATTTGAAAACAAGTCTTGAAAGAAAAGAACTGTTTTGGTGTTTCTCAGATGCCATTTTACCTGAAATCAAGTATACGAAGATTAACATCACCTACACTGAGACGTTTGACGTGACATTTGGAAAAGAAGGCGATAAGGTCACTTTGACCTGCAAGATGACCATTAACCCCAACCTGGCTAACCTTCAGCCTGAGGCGCTGTGGTACAGAGATGGTAGGAACTGGCCATCAAAGGCCAACACAAATAATTTTGTGTGTGTGTGTGTGTAGTGTGGTTAATGTTAATGAAGCCGCAGTCACACTAGACTTTGAGCGTGCGAAATTGCTCATTCTTGACCCTCAACGGTCATGATATGACGCCACATTCTGCAGTGTCTTTTTAAAAACGTACAGTTTATTCAACAGATAACAAATAATAATAAATCCAAAATGTTAAAACATACAATCTACTCCACTTTCCTGCAGTGCTGCGGTTTTAAATTTATGTTCTTGCCGTGATGTTTCGATCTTCTGTTGGTCACACGGTTTCACGTGATATGAACTCGTAGGTCAGAGTTGGAATGCAGCAAAATGTGAAACAACTTCGCATGTGTCACGCTTCCTACTGTGAGGAGCGAGGAACGAGGAGACGGAAAGGAACTCTCGATGATAATACTTTATTTTCTTCACATGGAACAAGGAACACACATGTAGGAAATGGGAAATGACGTTCAGACTCGTCAAACAAACATCGGGCAGACTACAAATTACATACAAGACATAGCGAGGGAGTAAATCAAACACACCTGAATCAAATAAACAAACACAGGTGGAGACTAATGAATTCATAATGAAACAAAGATGACAGGAACATAACCAAATAAGGACAAACAGGAACATACATGTGACATTACTCTCCCCTCCCAGAAGGCGCGTCCCGCGCCGTAACAGTTACGGGGGGACGGGCGCCCTGGAGGCTGGTGCAGGGCAGGAACAAGGTGGAGACGACTTTAATCTTCATAAAGCAGGCAGGAACACACGTATCACATCATTGACGAACAAATACAAATAATAGCAGACCGAAAACTAAGGAACAGACAGGAATAAACTTATAAACACGTGGAATGCAATTAGGGAGAACAGAAACAGGTGTGGAGCTAATTAATCAAATCATGGAAACTAACTAGGCAGGAATAACGGAAACACAGAAAACAAAAACAAAACTGACCATAAACATGACATTACTCCCCCCCTCCCGGAAGGCGTGTCCCGCGCCATGACAATAACACCGGGGAGTGGGGGTGGGCGCCCTAAAGGCTGGTGCAAGACAGGGACACGGGAAGGCCTCCAGGGCGGATCAGGGATCTCCGGGAGCCATGGCGGAGCAGGGGACTCAGGAGGCCATGGCGGATCCTCCGTGATCCTCCTCCGCTCTGGAGGAGCTGACTCTGGAGGGTGCTCTGGAGGTGCAGGGCTGGCTAACTCGGGGGAATCAGGAGACGAAGGAGGGCTGGACGGGACCAGCGGAGACGAAGGAGCCTCAGGGGACGATAGAGAGCTGGACGGGACCAGCGGAGACGAAGCAGAACTTTCTGGAGCGGATTCTGGGGTGAGGATAGGAGCCAAGAACTCTGGAGGTAGCGCCATGTCCAAGAGCGCTGAGTCATTGGCGGCCAGCGGGCTTGACGGCGAGCTGGTTCTGGATCGGGGCCAGACGCTGTCCAGACACCGGAGGATCCCTTCCCTTCAACTTAGTCCAGTGGTGTCTGGGAGGTCCACGGGGCAATGGTAATTAGCCCTGATCCAGAACAGAGAGTTGAGCGTCACGTCGTCTAACGCCGTACTCGCGGTGATCCCGCAGAACTCCCACGCATACTCCAAAAACGGGAGATCCAGGCGAGCTAGGGTGGCGAACCGAGCGGCAACTTCCATAGCCGCGGGGAGAAACTGGGAAAACAAAAAACTTTCAACAAACGAAAACAAAACGGGGAGAAGGGGCGCCGCTTACTATTTTGTTAGGTTTGGAATTCTGTCTAGGTCAAGTCTTCTGTCACGCTTCCAACTGTGAGGAGCGAGGAACGAGGAGACGGAAAGGACCTCTCGATGATAATACTTTATTTTCTTCACATGGAACAAGGAACACACACGTAGGAAACGGGAAATGACATTCAGCCTCGACAAAGAAACATCGGGCAGACTACACATTACATACAAGACATAACGAGGGAGTAAATCAAACACACCTGAATCAAATAAACGAAACACAGGTGGAGACTAATGAACTCATAATGAAACAAAGATGACAGGAACATAACCAAATAAGGACAAACAGGAACATACACGTGACAGCATGAGCTTGTGTTTCCGCTCTCCCGCACATTCACATGCGTATGAATGGAAGCCAATGGAACGAAAAGTGTAGTGTGACCGACCCTACAGAGATTTATACAAGCTGCTGAATATGAAATGAACGGTCATTTTTGTGCACCAAAAATTATGTGAAAAAAAAGGACTTTTCAATCCCCTATTATCTATTAATTAGAAAGCAGATGTTCCGCCCCAAATGCATATCATTGGTTGAGCTAGTGTTTTATGATGGCTGCTTAAACAAACAGATTGCTATTCCATTTTATGCAGCTACTGACGCAGAAATTACGCATTTTGCCTATATGCAATAATGTATATACTGCACTAAAGTTAAAATGCTTTTCATTTAGCCATTAGAGTAGTTTCACATATGCGAGTATGACAGTGTTAAGAATCATAACTCTGATTTAATGATTTGTATGTGTCATCACTCAAAAATGTTCATGGAAGTTCACAAAAAGTGGATGCTTTCTTGTATTAAAATATTTGAATAAAATTTATTTAGGTGATTATCACTATTTATTGTTATTTTAATATTTATTCTACATTTGTAATGCATTGTACTTCTTCAAATGCATAAATAATGCGATATAGTTAGTCTGAAATACATTTCTTGCTGTATTTTACATGACTATACAACCAATGACAGCTGCATTTATTTATTGTGGCATTCACCCCGGTCATATATTAATTTTCGGGTTGTTCTGTAGGTGTGTGTTTTGCAGTCGAGTCATGCACAGAACAAAATGGCTTTTTATGTCCATTTGTATGACTCATTTCACTCCAATCTCATTTCCCGAATCATCAGATTACACTTTCCAGATCTGCAGTCTATTCTACAAAAGAAATAGTTTCATTTGCTCCCCTCTCATACCCCATGTTGTTTTTTTGGGCCCTCCAGAGCATCTCCTGAAAGAGTCCAGGTGGGTGAAAATAGAGTCTGGCGGAGGTGTTGCCAAGCTCACGCTTACTCAACTCGCTAAGGATGATGAGGGTCTTTACACCCTCCGCATGGTGACCAAGGGAGGCGATGCGGTCCACAGGGCTTACGTCTTCGTTGATGGTAAACTTTTCCAAGGCTTGTTGAAAGTCTTATGTGATTCTTTTGCTGGCCTTTAAAGGTCTGGATTAGCATAATTCATCTCATATAGCGCATACATCTGTTTCGGAGTGATTCCCTCTGCGAATCAGTGGTGTGTAGGAGTCATCATGTTTTGTCTTGGCAGATGGTCCACCTCCAGTTCCTCAAGCTCCCGGAGCCCCAATGGACATTAAGATCCATGATGCAAATAGAGATTATGTCATTGTGTCCTGGAAACCTCCTAACACCACCACTGAAGGCCCCATCGTTGGATACTTTGTTGACAGGTGACTGCGCTGACTAAGGTGTCTTCCCAGTGGGAGTTGTTTTATGGAATACATTTATGCAAGTTATTTGATACAGTGGCCTCAAGAAATATTTGGACGCTTCACACTTTAAAATGTCTGAATGTCATGGCATTAGATAAAAAATTGTCAAATATCTGCTAGATGTTTTTTTTCCTAGCTTAACTTTTACTGAGCCAGGTTTTCATTTACATTTAACAAACTGGTTTTGTCACAATACTTTTATCTTGATTTTGTGCACTCAACATGAATTCACTAAACAGTTGCACTAGCTTAGCATGCAGCTTTTCATCGCAAAACTGTTCATCTTATCCACATACCACCTGCAATATAATCAGGTGCTAAATGCGCTAGAACAGCCTACTGAGAGTTTTTAAATAAAGTCACTGTCAGTCTTTTCATTGCAAACTGGACTTCTTTCTATGCAAATGAGGATTATTATGGAATCTACCTGATTGACAAATGTTAACGTAATGTGTCCGATGCAATTAACCTGCCACCCACAGAAACTAGTCGGTAAATGAAATCGAAAGGGATGTTGGATATGATATTTTAGAGATTTTTATATGCAATATTTATTAGAAACCATTTAAGATATCAAGATTTTTTTTACATACAGTACATCCCCTTCCGGAAATGACCAGCAAATTACTTTTTAGAGATCATATCATGGAAATGACCTTTTAAGAAATATTGGTAAATCAGTTTTGGCAATTTTCCCAAGATGAGTTGTTGTAACATTACCGGTAAATTACTGTTTTGAAACTGCTGTTTATAGTAAGGGGCGTTCATAGAGAAATCATTCCACTTCTCTGCTTTTTAATCGTTTTACTATGCAAAAGGCACTAAACAGACGTCTTTGTCCATTGCGCCGTACTCTTGGCGTTTTCCGCATCTCACGCATGTGTGCAGTTTTTAAAAGTGCATCCCGGAACTCTGCATTACTTCCTTTCATCACCCTGTGCACCGTTTTTAATAGCAAAAATGTATGTTTGACAGGCCCCACCTATATTTGCCTTGTCGCAAATATCTGTTTGTGGGCCCAAAAAAGGATGCTGTCAATTCTCAGTTGCTTTCACCCTATACTCTGTGTTTTGTTGTTTAAAAACGTCCTTTTATGCAGTATTTTGCTTAAAAATGCTTGTGCTATGTTTCTTTAAAATAAATTTGGGTTTTGTTGACTAAGACAAAGTGTGCTCAAAGCCTACAGTTTTAAGTGTGCTTTAAGTGTTACATTCAAGTTGCTTAATTGTAGGTTCTCTGTAATACAAAAGAAAGTTTGTTGTCCCTTCCAATGAAGCTACTTAGAAAATTGCTTACCAACACATATTCTTTGCATTGGCTAATAGACGCTGTGATTAGTTTGTTCCCTGTCACTTTGAGCTGCATTAGTATCGAGCTGAAATGTACTCTAGTCGGACAGTAATCAGACTGTTAAGTGATGCATGGATCTGCAATTACGTATGAATGCTCCTTGGCTCATATCATCTCCTCGGAATGCAAAAGTGGGAAGTATCATCTCCTCTTTCACAGCAGTGTGGAAGTAATGATAGGATAATCTTGACTACTGTCCATATTCATTGTTGTTCATGTTTTTTCTTTAACTCTTGTTGGGCAGATGTGAAGTTGGAACAGAGAACTGGGTGCAGTGTAACGACTCCCCTGCGAAGAGCTGCAAATATCCCGTGCAGGGCCTGTTTGAGGGACACTCTTATTACTTTCGCGTACGTGCCATCAACTCTCGAGGCATTGGCAGACCCTCCAGAATGTCTGAGCCCATTGCTTCTCTGGACCCTACAGAGTTTGAGAGACTTCATGGTGAGCAAAACGAAGTCCTCGTGAAGTTACATTTAGTGATCAACACTGTATGTATTAATAATGTACTGCTGTTTGTTTCAACAGCCACAAAACTTGGTGGAAGACTTGACATTGTGACTTACTATGATGACCTTGAAGGTACTTTATAGTTGGATTTATTTACTGAAAAAATTGGTCAAATTTAAAAGTTTGATTTCAATGCATGTTAAAACCATGGAAATGAATATAATCTTTAAAAATAATGGAAAAGTCATGGACATTTCTATAATAATAATAAAAAAAATGGCAAGATATGACAAGTTCTAAAATATTTAATAGAGTATAAATTACTTTTTGTTGATGCAGTCTCTATAAAATTGTTTATTATATTATATTATATTATATTAAAAAATTATATTTTAGCCGTACACAGTAATCACAAACTGAATAAGCATGGAAATTCTTTAGTCAAAACAAATGTGAGCTTTACATTTAGTTCTGATATTAAACATGCACTAAGTAAAATAATGAGGTTTGCCTAAAATGAATAGTACTTTTGAGCAGGGCTGTCAATTTAATCAAAATCACAAACAAAACTCCTTATTTATTATATATGCATTCAAAATGCATTCATTTCTTGACAATCAATGGCTAATGGCTAAATTACTACATTATAGTGACGATTGCATGTATATGGCTTCGTCCCGGTTGCTCACTATCATAGGGTAAAAATGTCCATCCTTCAGTGCCCTTCAAGAGCTCAAAAATGACATCTGGAAATCCCCTTTACTGCATCCTTAAATATTGTGGGGTGGATCTGCCTTAAAATGTTCTTCCTTTTGTCACTCAGTCAAGTTTGTGTGTCTTTACATTGGCATTATGTATTAGATGACAGCAGCTGTCACTTCGTGCTTTCCCCCCTATTCTTTTCATGCTTTTTGCTTTCAAAATTAGCAATAATTATCTAGCCCATAATTGGTTCTCTTCTGAGAGGTACTGATTAGTTTTTGATGAGAATTCCATCAGGAAGGGAACGCACAGACATCTGTGGTTCTTTTTCAAGTTGAAATGAACACATCAACCAGTGTCACCCATGTGCATGCATATGTGTATGTGTGTGTATATAGCAGCGGCAAAGATGATATTCACATATCAGTCCATGATGTTAAACTTGATTTTAATGCTAGTGAAATTGCTAGGATATTTCCTAGTGTGTGTAAATGTGTGTGTATTGGTGTGTGGGTATGTGTTCAGGGTAGAAACAGTAATTCTGTTTGATGTGCTTTGCCTGCAGCCGAGGGAAAAGCTCCAGGAACTCCCTCTAAAGTCTGTGCTTCAGAGACGGACCGAACATATGTTGTGCTCAGTTGGGTCCCTCCAGTCTACCATAACAAAGCCCCCATGTGGTATTACATTGAGAAGGTTAGTTTCAGCTCACTGCCAGACGTTAACCCAGCCGAATAGTCACAAACTTTGTTTCAGCAGTTTACTTTTCTTCTTATGTCACCTTTTATCCATTAAGAAACACCTACAGTGTAAGAATGTTTAAGAAGAATATTTTTAAATTAGTTTTTGTTTTGCATTAAATGATGCAGCACAGCCCACAGGAACAATTTATTTCTCAGAAGTTAATCTTTCATAGCTTAGAGATAGCTCATATTGTTGTTTTAATTATATATTTTAAAACAAAATTATGTTTTAACAATGCCATTTTTTGTTTCATTCCAATAACTGATATCTAAGACCCATTTTTTTTGTTTATTATTTCAGGTTTTTGACACAATAATAACTAAATATTACACTACAAGCATATTATTATTATTATTAGTAGTAGTAGTATTATATTAATGCAATAATAATAATAATAGTCATGCAAAGTTGTGTGCTGATCCAAAGGGTTGCAAATGTATTTTTTTATTTGTTTTCAGTTGTTTAATTGTTAAGCATCAATTTCTACAAGTTTTTTGACTTATTAATAAGAATAGCTGAAATGTTAATTATGCAAACAAAGCATTCAAAAAGTTAATTTTCTGTCATTTTATTTAATCTGTTGTCCCAATATTAAATGAACGGAGTTCTCAGTTATTTCAGTTATCAGGTTGTCTCAGATGTTCCTTCTAAAAATAAAAACAAAATGAAATGTGTTGTGTTGTGTTTGCATACTTTGGGGTTGTGGCAAATCCATTGTCAGTCTTTGGCTCTGTTTAATATTTTTTTAATAATTTAATAACTGTCAAGGAGAGAAAGCTGTGATTTTTTAAAACTTTTTTTTGTGAGAGGTTAAAGCGGTCAGTCATAATTTCCCACACAATACATATTTGTGTAATAGTGTGTTTTTATTAACTCTGGACTTTTATAGCTTCAAGTTGGAGCTGGATCCTGGCAGAGAGTGAACACTAAAGTACCCATCAGATCTCCTCGCTATGCCGTCTTCGACCTGCTAGAGGGAAAGGACTATCAGTTCCGTGTGCTATCCGCTAACATGTATGGCGTCAGTGAGCCTTCTGAGCCCTCCAGTACTGTAACAACCCTGCAACTGAAGGGTAAATGCCCTGAAAAGGCATGTCACAGAAAGGCCAATGTGCCTATGATGTATTTCACTTAAGATATTGACATGTTGAAATGCATATGAAATGGCATATAGATCTTTGAAGTTTGCTCTGACTTTGATGTTGTCATTAAGGCAGTAAGGATTTTTTATCTGCCTTTCTGTAGTGGAACTAATTCATGCATGATAGGTCATCAAGGGATTGATTGGGCTGGTTGGTCAAACCACCCCTGAAATGAAGTTCTGTGTTCATTCAGGTGTGCCCTCGGCTCCTGGACAAGTCATTGCAACCAGAGAGACAGACACTTCTGTTCTAATCCAGTGGGCGCCTCCAAAGGATCCCAATAACCTGATTGGATATTACATTGATTCTTGTGTGAAAGGATCTAAAGACTGGACCTCTGCCAATCACAAGCCCCATAAGCAGACCAGGTATGAGCTTAGTCTAGGTTAAATGATTTGAGGCACTTCCCATGAAAGCATATGAAAATCAGGTCAGAAAAACTCTTAAAACAATATTTAACATGTAAATAAAATATAAAATATAAAATATAAAATAAAATGCCCAGGAATCAATTCAGTCTAGGTGAGCAAGCCATTCTCATTCCCAGGCATCAAAAACTGAAGCAAAAACTGGTCAAACACCTTGTGAGTCAATAAAGATGCTAAAGATACCCCTGTCAGACTCTGTTCCATGTGTTGTGTGTGTCCTGCTCCCCATGTGCCTTCCCATGCCCTTATTTGGTTAGTTTCCTGTTCCTGTCCTGATTAGTTTATTTCATTTGTCCCAGGTGTTTCCCTTGGTTTTATTGCTCCCAGGTGTGTCTCGTCATCCCCTCCTCCTGTGTGTGTGTATAAAATGTGTTCCCAGTCCCAAGTTCTCTGTCCGCTGTTGTACGTCTTCCTGTAAACGTCTTCCTGAGTTCGTCTCCCTTGGTTCCTTGGTGCAAATAAAGTCTTGTCAACATATTCTCCAGCGTCTCCTCGTCCCTCGTGTGTGTGTGCATCGTGACAGAACAGCGGCCCGAACAGTAAGCGGCATCCCTTCCCTGTGTTTGATTTCCGTTTTTTGTAAGTTTTTGTTTTGCCCCTTTCTTCCTGTAAACGTCTTCCTGAGTTCGTCTCCCTTGGTTCCTTGGTGCAAATAAAGTCTTGTCAACATATTCTCCAGCGTCTCCTCGTCCCTCGTGTGTGTGTGCATCGTGACAACCCCTAAGTGCCACTATATTGATGAACTAACAACTACATTGTTTTCAGCAGTGTTGGGGAAAGTCACTTTTAAAAGTAATGCATTACAGTACTGCTTTACTCCCTAAAAATGTAACTAATTGTGTTACTTAGTTACTTTTTATGAAAAGTAATGTGTTACGTTACTTTTTCTCATCTGGGCTGGGCTTGTTTGTTTTTAATATAAAAAGTTCTAATTTTAGCAAATGTAAAAGTCCTTAAGTAAAAGTGACGTGACATGTGGCCAAGCATGGTTACCCATACTAGGAATTAGTGCTCTGTGTTTAACCCATCCTAAGTGCACACACACAGCAGTGAACACACACACACACCGTGAACACACACCCGGAGCAGTGGGCAGCCATTTATGCTGCGGCGCCCGGGGAGCAGTTGGGGGTTCGGTGCCTTGCTCAAGGGCACCTCAGTCGTGGTATTGAAGGTGGAAGAGAGTGCTGTACATTCACTCCCCCCACCTACAATTCCTGCCGGACTTGAGACTCGAACTCGCAACATTTGGGTTACGAGTCCGACTCTCTAACCATTAGGCCATTCTTAGAGCAATTCTTTAAAAGTGAAATGAATAAGCCTCAGGCTGAAGGAAATGTAAATTCACGTCTGTACAGTAGAGGGCACAGCACAAACAGACCTTTCAGTTGTTCTGCCATTCTGGACTGCATGAGGAATATGACGCAGGAGAAGAAAGTCCAGCACTCTTCAGCAATTAAAAAAAATGAAACAAATGTCATGTTTTTCAGTCACACTTTATTTTAAGGTCCAATTCTCGCTATTAACAAACCATTATTTGAATTTTGCCTCAATAAACTCCTAATTTGCTGCTTATTAATAGTTAGTAAGGTAGTTGTTAAGTTTAGGTATTGGGTAGGATTAGGGGTGTAGAATATGGTCATGTAGAATTAATGCTTTATAAGTACTAATGGTAACACTTTACAATAAGGTTCATTAGTTAACAGTAATTAACTGTATTAGTAAGCATGAACAATAGTTCTACAGCATTTATTGATCTTAGTTAATGCTAATTTCAACATTTACTAATACATTATTAAAATCAAAAGCTGTATTTGTTAAGTTATAACAATATAATTGTCATTGGTTGTTATCGCAGAATAACCCCCGACAGGGTGATCAGGATCAGGTCTTGTATCACCCTGAAGGGGGTTATTCTGTGATAACAACCGGCTGGATGTACATTATCCCGCTTATTACACAGCTACTTGCCTCATAAGTAAATAATTAGACACAACATATTGATTTGAGTTGAAATATTTGAACGAAAAGCTTCCATGAACACAGCAGGGGTACAGACATAAATAAATGGAAAGTGCCATAAAGTGCATGATATGGTAATTTACAAAAACAAAAACAAAATGTGATCACAAATTTCAACATGAAATGCCACTGGAAAACCAGAAAGCTTACATCAGCAGTTTGTGTTGCTGACAAGTTTTTTCTGAGGATGCTATTCCCTAAATAATGAAATAGAAACTTCCTCTTTCACTGCCTCATTACTGGGTTCTCACAGGTTTGTTGTGCACGGACTGACCACCGGTGAGACGTATGTCTTCCGCGTTCAAGCCATCAATGAGCTGGGCCTCAGCGACGAATCCCAGGAATCGGCCCCTCTTTCTGTGAGAGCTGCTCTTAGTAAGTCTGCCTCTCACAACCCAGTCTCATTTGATATTCCATCAATAAACCATTTATTTTGATCCCTTTCCTCTTGCCAAACACATTCAAAAGCTGTTTTTCAGCAGGATGTGTTTGTTATTGATAAACCCATGGTGTAGTAAATGACAAAAAGAAAGCCACGCACCAGAAATGGCTCACATGACTTATTTTTAATGACTTTACAACAGGTTGGAACAGGTCTTTATCTTTTATTCATAGGCATTTATTCAGAAAGTTGCCACACAATCACAGCAGAAAAGATTAATTCTAGACATCAAACGTTCTTCTTTAGTATACAGTAGAGCAGAGTGGTGAAATGTTTCAGCCAGTAGAGTTTCTGCTATAGCGTTTATTAAAGCAAGAGACCATAAGAGAATGTGTTACAGTAATTTTACCATGGATAATGCACACACACACATATATATATATATCGTGATATAAAATTATTCATAGTGTAATATAACCATCACACTATGAATATATAAGATATATGGTCATATCACCCACCCCTAGTATTTTTTATTTCGCTTAAACCTTGTACCATTTGCTAAATTGGTTTAATAATTTATACCAAATGAGTCAGAATGTTTTTTCTTTCCGTATCTATGTGGGACACTTAGTCAACAAGTATAAATGATTTCAGCCAGCAGACCATTACATTTTTACAGATCTGGATGATTTGTAGAGCTGTTTGCTTTGTGACTCTTTAGCTTTAGCTAACAGCAATCCTCTGTTTGGACTCAGGGGGACAATTCCATACTCGGAGACTTCAAAAAATGAAACTGAAGATTAAACTTTTTTGTCCCAAGAGTGCAGGCCTGTCTATAGTAAAGAGACAGTCAAAACAGTGATCAGGAAATTAAATTAGATGTTTATTAGATGGAATTAAGCAGCTGTGATGTAGTATAACTCATGTCATACCATTTTTTGCTATGGACATTATTGGTACCTTGTGTGGCTTGAGGAGATTGTTTCATTTACAGTATTTGCCAGTCAAAAACAGGCAAAAAAAACAAAAACAAAAAAAACATGTAGACTTACATTGGTCCAAGGAGTATCAGGGACCATAATAGGAACCTTTTGAACTGCACCAATAGGCACCTAGCAACTACCCCGAACAGCCTAGAAACTGCCTGAAATTCTCTCATAACACCCTAGGATTTTGATAGCAAGTTTTGTATGGGCAACAACCACAACCATTTTCAGAAAATGCAGGCTTTGTTCAAAAACCCAGTGAGCTGCTTGCATAGCCATTATTATCATAGCTTCACTTCTGACATGGAGACTGTCTGCATGATTGTGCTGCTTTCAAAGATATTTTGGTCAGTTGTAAGGTAGCGTGGTATCCTTTGTGTAGAATGCAATCCCATAATGCTTTGAAGTCTGATGGCTGAGAAATTGATTAGAAATATAATTATTTAATTATAAAAAAATATTACTAAATGTAGTTCAGTCTAATTAAAAAGAAACTATTTTATTAATAAACTCTCTATTTAGACTACCATTCAAGTTTGGGATCTGTAAGATTTCTTTCATGTTTTCAAAAGAAGTCTCTTTTGTCTGCATTTATTCGATAAATAATACAGTAAAAACATATATTTTAAAATACAATTTATTCCTGAGATGGCAAATCTGAATTTTAAGCAGCCTTTACACTCGTCTTGTCTTTTACATGATCGTTCAGAAATGATTCTAATACTGTATGCTGATTTGTTGCTCAAAAATATTTCTTATTATTATCAATGCTGAAAACATTTGTGGAATTTGTGGAAACCGTGATACATATTTTCAGATTTTTTGCTGAGTAGAAAGTTCAAAGGAACAGCATTTATTTGAAATAGAAATATCACTTTTGATCAATTTAATGCATCTTTGCTGGATAAAATTATTAAAATATATATATATATATA